GTGTCAACATCACGCTAGCTTCACGCCCACTGTTGGTGTCACCCGATCACCGCGGGCGCGCGCGCACTGACCCGCCCCGGTCGTGTCGAGGAGGGCCAGCTCGATCGCCAGAGCAATTATCACGTACGGCGACGAGGATAGGAGAGAAAAGCAAAAGCTCCCATTAACCGACGTCGCTCGCGGCCGACAGCGAGTGGGTGCCGACGGCGACAGGGGAGCGGCACGGCCGGCCGAACCGGCTGCACACATGGCTGTCTCGGCCCTGCTCCCAGTCCACCCATGTCATCGCCGAGATCCATGCGCCGGCAGTGTCGTCCCTGTCTCGGGATCTAGAGGAGGATACGGATTACGGAGATCCGGGGGCGTGGGCGGGGTGACGGCGAGCTGCACGCACGCACGGCGCGTTCCCATGCAGCGTGCATGCATGCGCCGGCATGGGTGGGCGCGGGCCGTGTCGTCGTGCAGGCGACCGTCTACTCGGGGGCAGAGGGTACTGGCAGGCAGCCCGGCCATGCTTTGCTCCACCTACACTCAGACATACGCCGGCCGGCCTCCTTTCCTTCACCCGCACTTCTACCTCTACCACGACCGATCTAGATCTGCTGCTACCTAGTGGCGATCCCGCCGGCTCCGATTTCCAAAGAGTTGGGAATCTTGCTTCGTCCTAACGAATTGCAGGCACTGCCTGGCTTGCTCAGTTGACCTGCCGGCTGCCGCACCGCAGATCGGCATAAGAAAACAGCAGCACCACCAGTATGAACGTAGCACTAGCGAGTACTATAGCACAGTGCTCCTACTTGGTAGAGTTGAGTGATCACAAGGTCAAATAGACAAGGAGAGAAAAGAAAGCTATGGTGGCTGCCAGCACCACTGGCCGGATTCCCGGGAGAAGAAGTCCAAGATAGTATTACGTACCATCTGTACCGTGTACATACGTACTTTTTTTTTGAGAAATGTGTACGTGAGTACATGGAGCCAGCTAGCGTGCTGCGTGCGTGGGCTCAGTCCCTGCCTGCCTGCCCGCCCGCCCGCGACACCCAGACGTGCCCCTGCGTCGTCGGCGCAGCCAGCAGCCCACTACTCAGACACGACACATCTGCCGTTTGTTCCATGCAGTTCACTCATGCAAGCCAGTGACCCAGAGGCCAGAGTGTAAAACCAGCAGCAACAGGAGCAGTTTTCCTCTCAAAACCAGACAGCAGCGCCATTTTTTTCAACACCCGGATTGATTTAGGGGGGCACGTCTACCAAGGCCTACCTGCCGGCCGCAGACGGTACCGTACCGTACAGGAAAAGTAAAACTGTCCGTGCATGGTGCGAGTACGAGCAGCATGCAGGCTGCGAGGAAAACTTGTTGGCCTCGGCTGCATGCAGCTAGCGTCTCTCGTCGTTCTTCGCTGCATCATGCATGCAGTTTCTTGGATGGATCGTGCTTGCTGATCCGTGGAACGAAGCCTTGCTGGCGGCAGCAGGAATCGATCGGGCACATGCGGCGGAGGCGCGGAGCATATTTCTAGACAGGGCCCCCGGGGAGGGAGGTGCGTTGTATATTCCGGGCGGCGCAGGAGTTGTATATTTCACGCAGCTGCTGATGACTTGCTTGCATGTGTAGATTGTGTACTATCCCGTCGATCGGCTTTAATCCCAATCACACAGCCGCTCGCTTGCTTCATCGGGTACGAGGATGCTTGGATATATTTTAGTCTCATGATTAAAAGTAGTGGGACTAAAACTTAGTAGCCTCATTTATGCTTGGATCCAAATACTAAAGAGACTAAAATCAAGTTAATGAGCATTTATTATCCTCCAAACCCTTCAATCCAGAATTCGCATGTGTTAAAAGAGATGAGTTAAATAAGAAGAGAGAGAACTAATCCATATTTTATTACGGGTACCCCTGACTAAAACATTTTAGTCTTAAGACTAGTTTTAACTCCTCTTTAGTCAGAGGTGCTTGGAACTTTAACCTATCAGAGAGACTATTTTTAGTCAGACTAAAATAAGTCTCTTGAATCCAAACACCCTCTATGTTACTCCACTCCTGCATCCCCCTTATCTACTCCCGTATTTACAAGCTCATCCGCGAGGTCCACGCTTCAGTTTATTTCGTCGGCTAATGATCAATTACCTTGTTGGATGTTTGTTGGTTCATGCAAACGCTTGAGGATCATGAAGGGTTCCCATGAAGCCATCAGTCTTGATCAGTGTTTTCAGCCAAAATTCTCTTACAATTCAAGCGTTATATCTTCATTCTAACCCTCATCGGAGTTCTTTTGTTTCAGCGCCAAGGTCCAAGGATAAGTATAAGAACAAGAGTTGCAAAGAGAGCCTTGGGTCAGTGGTTGGGAATGCAGTTGTGCAGCCTAACGACCCGAGTTCAATTCTTAGAATTGACAGCTGATGCATAGGGGTATTCCCCATTTATTGAGGATCAAGTTTGATGTATGGTGGAACCACTCATAAAAATATATCTTAATACTCATTTAAAAAATTATGAGGACCATGTTTATCTTGGTACTCATACTAAAATGGCCGTATGCATTCCTAGTTGGTGCAGAGGCCGGGGAAGTGAAATTCTCCCCCAATTTTTAGAGACTTGGGACCAGCTACGCAATTATAAGTTTTACCTTAGACCTCTTCTTTTTAAGCTCTCCCGAGGGCGACTCAGGGGCGACCTAGGGTTCCCTCGCGCCGCCACCTCCCCCTTTCCTTCCTCCTCGCCGCTGCCGGAGGCGGTCACCGGGGCCCCCGCGCGGCTGCCTGTGAGGGCGGCGGCGAGGCCTCTGGCCGCTCCCTTTCGGTGGTGAGGGCCCGGATCTGAGGCGGCGGCCTCGCTGGTGCGGACGGCGCCTCCGGCGGCGGGGAGTGCTCGTCGGTGAGGTCGGCCGGGTCCCCTCGGTTGCGCGGGCAGCGAGGTCCCGGTGGGCGCTGGTCGTGGCGCGGGGAGGCCCCGGGCTCCCCTCGTCAGATCTGAGGCGTTCTGGTCCGCTCGTGACGCATGACCTCCTGGCCGGCCTGGATCTTCGGCGTGCACGCGCCTGCTGATGCTGTGGCTGGTTCGGAGGTGGCGGCAGGGTGCTTGGCCGCCGGTGGCGACCACGGCGTCGATGGCGTCCCGAACGCCATTCCCTCCTTGGTGGCGGCGCCGAGGCTCAACTTCCCCTGCCTCCCCCCTTCCCCTGCGCCCGGGTGAAAACCCTAGCCCCGGTGGCTAAGCGGCGGCGGCGCCACAACGTCGTCACCTTCTTGAAGGCGCCGACTTGGGCATGGGTATGTTGGGCGTGTATGGCGAGCTTGTCTGGTTCCTGGTGGCGGCCCGTCCGGCCGTGTCTTCGATGGGGACCTCGCCCTTCCTTACCTTGTACCTGCTGTGATGGAGCGGTACTTCAGCTCACACATTGATGGCGACAGAGATCGGCGGCATGGCGTTGTGGAGGCTCGGCGTCCGATGCGCGGAGATGGACTCGCGCAGGAGGAGGTAGCTGTCTGGCATCATGGTGACGTCGATGGCAGAGTGGCCAAACAAGGTAGAAGCCTCAATATAATCTGAAGACGGGCCTGTGGAAGATGGCTGCGACGACACACGAGTGCGTCTGACCGGATTGTGCCCCAGACCCGGTATGTGGCTCGGCTGGGGCTTCCGGTTTTTGATGTTAGGTTTAGGTGAGTGGTTTGGGTAGTGGCCCAGCTAGCATCCCTTCATCATATGGATAGGAGTAGCGGCATATGTTGCCAAGATGGTGGATTCAGGTATATTGTTTATAATACTTTGTAAGGTCCTCGAGAATAATCAATAAAGTGGCCGTATGCATCTCCCAGATGCAGAGGCCGGGGGTCATCCTCCTTTTCTAAAAAAAATAAGAACAAGAGTTAAAGATGAGGGTAGTAAGAAGAGGACGACGGAGAGGGAAGGGGATGGGACAGGAGGAGAGCGGAGCAGTCGAGAGTGACTATGGTTTGGTCCGAAGTAGCGTATATGTGAGGTCAAACTGGGTTAGCCTGGGCCCGTCATCCACGTCCGGGCATGTCCGAACAGTCCCATATCCACACCCATACATGTGCTGGTTTTGAAGAGTGCCAACAACCCGTACATTTAGGATGGCTATGAGGGGTCCTGTTGAGAAAATGTCCGGTAGTGGTTTGGCTGTCCGTCCAGACTTCTTGGGAGGGTTTGAGGCAGTCTAGTTGTAGATGCCCTTAGTTATGGCTAAAACATTCAGTAAACTTTAGTTTGACATCATCCAAACATGTTAATAATGACACCAATTAGGCATGGAACTGGAAATTTGGGCCTAGAATAACTACTTTCACCTCTTTTTTTGCATAGTAATTCACGTAAACAAACAAAACTGAGAAGACTGTAGAACCTTAGCATTTTCTCAAAAAACATCAACCTAGATAAAAATCAAGATCGAAGAATTCTCTGTGCATGATGCCAAGGCCCATCACCGGCAACCACCAAAAGACTCGTGGCAAATCACCTCTTCCCCCGACCTCGACACAGCTCCATCGCTGATATGCGGTTTTTTTGACCTCCAAAATGGCCATTAATTCTTCTTCTCTTCCCATTTCCTTTTTCGACTTCTTTGTACTGAAACATGTAAGAAAAAAGAAGAACAAAAGGGAAGAGTTTTATGGCTAAAATGTATGCACCTCCTGTGGAGATGCATTTAATTTAGGAGCTAGCACTTGGGAAACCTGAGAAAACTGGTCTAGATTGCCAATGAAATAGGGTTGATCTTAAACAGTATGTATATCATGCAACATGTGCCCAAGTTTCCAATCAAGTGAGTAAGCCAGCACTGGTTCAACCAACTAGCAAAGACAACCATCCATTAAAGCCAACACAGACCATCCATTAGACAAACCCTAAGCTAGCCACAAACAGTCAGCTGCATTGACACAAACTGCATGCAGGCGACTTCTGACAGAATTACAATAAACTTCTAACGGTTCGACTTCGCTTTAGACTCCATTGACACAAATTGGACCATACCACATTACGCACAGCCGTGCACAAGTTCCTGCTTGTTCCGCAGCCTGCGCGCTCTGTCCACAATCCGACGAGGTTGCAGCGCTCGCCGATACAGAAGGTGAATGACGATGACGTTCAAATCCCCGCTGATGTAGCTCCCCAGGGTGCAGTCATTGTGCAGTAGTGGCTTCCCGGAAAAGAAGAGACACTGTTGGGATGGGGGAATCCCCTCCTCCTTGTGAATATTCGCCTTGACATCCTTAATCGTGTCTCTAATGCTAACGGCAGGAAAAATGGTCTTGCCAGTCAGCATCTTGATGTGAATCGCACTATTCCTTGCGATGTACGGGGCAAGGAGAAGCCCGCACTCCCACAACTTATGAATATTGCAGTCCGACAGGGTACGGTGATTCTCGAGCTGCTTGCCGGCATAGATGAGGGGAAAAGGTGTGGTGGCACCCGGGACTCCCGGCACCCCCTTATCAGCCCGTCCAGTCACTCTGAGATTCGAGCTGGGGTCTGTCTAGGATCAGATAATTTGCAGCACCCTGAAGCTTTGTCAGCCCATTTGCCTCACAGCGGTAGCAGAGAAGTTTGGCGCATGGCAGGGATATAGGACCGAGCAGTAGATGCCTGTCTATGACCAGCCTACCCCCGATAGGTATGGCACTACAGTCACTGTTCTTGATGGGAAGAAAGGAAAGGAGAGAGAGAGCATCCACATTTCTTGTCCCGGGATTTTGGTGTCTTTCACTTGTGAGAGAGGCCATGAGAGTGAGAGGGGAGGAGAGAGAGGACGCTGTTTTGTCAGAGAGAGAGAGAGGTGCCATGAAAGAAAGAAAAGAAGGGAGAGAAGTGGCGTGTGTCAGAGAAAAAATGGAGCAGAGAGGGGTGATGCGAGAGAGGGAGACGGGAAAAAAGGTATTTTGTATTCTATAGGCAATGGGTTCATCGGGAAGTGACACGTGCTGTGGAATCTCCTACTAGTAATCTACAGGGACCTACCAAAGGCCTAGCTCTCGCTGCTACTCCCTCCGTTCCAAATTACTTGTCGCTCAAATGGATGTATCTAGCACTAAAATAGTATTAGATTCATCCACTTGAGCGACTCAACTAGGCCTGCAAAAACAAACAACGTTGCAGTCCGTGCCACAGATCACCAGGTCTCCTGCCATCTACAAACGGTGGTGATAAGCGGGAGTCTGGACACCCGGGTCCTAAAAAGCCGGTCTCTAGATGAGGCGCTGCATGTACGAAGGAATGCCCACCTGATCATAAACCATCGCCTTGACATCCTCGATAGTATCTGAACTCAAAACCGCAAGATCAATGATCTCGCCGGTCAGCTGCTTGACTTTCAGATGCAGGAAAGGGAAAGGGACAAGCTCAAAGGTGCAGAAAGTCTCAATGTTGTAATCTGCAAGGGTGCGGCCATCCTTCAGCCGCTTGCCCGCAAAGATGAGACCCTGCTCATCCCAAGGAACGTCCTCCTGACTCTGAATCATCGCCTTCACATGCTTGATGGTATCTGAACTCTTAACCGCAAGATCAATGATATTGCCAGTCCGCGTCTTGACAAATATACGCATGTGAAGGACAAGCTGTAGGGTGCTCAGATTCTTAATGTTGTAATCTGCCAGGGTGCCGCCATGCACCAGCTTCTTGCCAGCAAAGATAAGACCCTGCATGTCTAGATCGTGATCACGCATTTTAGCCTCGACATCCTCGATCTTATTTGAACTCTTGACCTTAAGAGGGTTTTCTAGAAAAGGAGGATGACCCCCGGCCTCTGCATCTGGGCGATGCATACGGCCACTTTATTAATTATTCTCACAAGACCTTACAAAGTCATACAATAATAAGACTAAAGCCGTCGTCTAAGCAACAAACTGTCGCTACATCTATCCAGTTGATGAAGGGGCGCAGATAGCCTGGGCCTAATACCAAACAGACATCACAGCCAAGCCTAATATCTGAGACTTAAGACCCCAACCTAGCCACTTGCCGGGTTTGGGGCACACACTGGTCCGGCGTGCTCTCAGAGGCCGCCGCCGCCAACTGCCACCGCTCCATCTTCAGAACTGTATTGATGCATCAACCTTGCTCGGCCCAGCTATCATCGACGCCACCACGACGCCCAACGACACCTCCTCCCTATGCGCAAATAGCTGTACACGTCGTGGTCGCCACTGATACACCTCAGTGCCATGCTGCCACGTACCACCAGCCGACACAGCTTGAAGCCCTTGAAGGATCCGTCGTGCGTAGCACCTGCCGACCAGGCATGACCAAGCATAGCACCTATCGGTCAGGCATGACTTGACATCTCCACCGAAGCTCCATGCAAGACGAAGCCGCTCCACCTCCCGCCTCTGACTTCCAGCACTGCTCCACAAAACGACGCTCCCAAGAGAGAAACGACACCGCAGTGCCGTCATCGTCCGGTCTGGAACACCAGATCCTAGGGTTTCCCCCGGAGCAATACAAGTGGGTCGACGGAAGTCACATGACGATGCCTTCATCAAGGTAACGACGTGGAACGCCGCCATCGCCCGCCGTCGGCCCGGTTTTCACCGGCAACTACGTCTCCCCGACTCGCAGCTGGTGCCAGATGACGGATCCCGAGATCCGAACACCCAGCCTCAGGCCGACCACCTCTGACGGAAGAGATGACCACCACCGCCGGCTGCACCGGTCAGAACAGATCTGATCGGAGGTGCCGCCGACGAGACCACCAGGCCCTCCATGCCGCCGTCGCTGATCTGAAGACAGCATGCACGCCACCGCAGTCGCCGCCGCCCGAAGGGCCATCCGCAGCACCAGCAGCCCTGGCCTGCCGCACCAAGCCGTCGCCGTCCGAGGACGGGCCGGCCTCCGCCGCCTGCCGCAGATCCCAGATCGGTCGCGCCATCCCACGCCTTGGGGTCCGCCCCACCCTGGAGACGCGCGAGAGAGGAGATCCCCCGCCATCGCCGTCGGCCTCCGGGCTTAGCCCGGCGGCGTCTTCCGGTGGCGGCGGAGGGAGGGGAGGAGGGAGTTTGCGGCGGCGGCGGCTAAATTTTTGACCTTAAGAGTGTACGTCCTACTATTTGTGGTCTTGACAAAGACATGCATCTGTTGAACAAGCATACGAAACATGAGCTATTTTTAGACAAAGAGCATCCGTTAAAGCCACCAAACACAAATTCCATCAAATTGGTAGAACCAAGAACCAAAATCCACTCATAAGCCACAACAAATCGACAGATTTTATGGGGTTAACAATATCAGTTGCATGGGTAAGAAATCTAGTTCAGATCAGAACAACTAGGGACGTTTACACTACACATGGACTAAGAATGAATGATCAACATGAATATTAGGACTATCTTTGATTATCCTGTTATACTTTTTCATAAACAAATAAAAAAAATCAAGGATCTAACACAAAATTGCGAAGCTAAAACACACACATGCAAAATTGCAAGCAATCCAGTATCTCACACAAAATTGATAGATAGATGAGGACAAACTACTCAAGAGAAAATACAACAGATCATGTCTCTTCTTATAGATAGGAACAGAAGACGAACTATTTTGACAACCTCCATCTAATAATTCCTAAGGTCTGATCCATCATATGAGATCAGCCACATATTTTACGAGTCGCCCCTCCAAATTAATCCACGGATAGCAAATACATCAGGAAGAAGTTCACTTTTCTACCCTGGCCTGAAGTGTAGGGTTTGTCCACTTAATGCCCAAAGTATTTTTTGGGGGCCCATTTTACTCATCCTAAGGATATGTACGTGGTCACTGCACCCCTCAAACCGGTATTTGTCAGCGGTATGCGTATCAGTACCCACACAGAGGAAGATGTGGGTAATTCAGAGAGGTGCAAGAGAATGACAGAGGAACAAGATAACTCGTCAGGATTTTCTGTGATTAATAATGTTCAAATGTGATATTACGTCAAAAAACCAGACATAGTGGATGAAGTATTCATACTTAGATGGAGTAAATGGACAACAATAATACTTTGGTGCACTTGGAAAATAATAAAAAGGGCCTTTTCCACCTAAGTAGTATTATCCAATACTTTCTAGATGTCATGCATATCATGAGTTTGTATGCCACTAGTATCATCAACAACTGTATTATGGTTTAGAATATCTTGTAACATATAAGCATTAACAACAACGTGTTATGATATAAAGCATCGTCCCATAATACATTATTGTCCAGCACAAAATGTCAATGATTTATAAAGTTTCTCAGATCAGTCATTGTCCATAAACAAGACAGTAAAAGGCAATGCTAAGTGCTGAACAGGTACAAGAAAATTTGGAGGTGATATAATTCTGCAAGGCATATATCATTGTGCAAAAAAAAAAACTCAGATAGCAGATGCAGAACATGAAGACATAGGTTTACTCAATTCTACTCCCTCCGTTCCAAATTACTCGTCGTGGTTTTAGTTCAAATTTGAACTAAAACCACGATGAGTAATTTGGAATGGAGGGAGTAGATAAGAAGGCACTACAAGATTGTTGAGCAGGAGATTAATCAATGAAGTTCACTAGAACTTGAGGAGATTAGCAACAAGAATGTAGATCTGGGATGCACAGCGTAAAGATGGAGTTGGGGTGGGAAATAGTGAGTGAAGGGAGACTCACTGTGCGATGTCCAAAACAGTGTCTGCCGGACTTGCATCGCCGAATAGAAGCTATATGCATTCCAATGATATCCCTCCTGAGCTTTTTACTAGTCTCCTGTTACAGAACATACTCATTAGCACTCTCCACAAGAGCATTATGGTGGTCCTATATAGATACCAGATGGCAGATACGAGTATCATATAAAGGCAAACCTAATATATACACTTTATTCTTGGTCGTGTTTCCAGCAGCACATAGCTGATGCATGCATCCAACAAAGAATTTGGACGCTCATGTCCTTTCAGCACAAACTTACAGTGGCACATATAAGAAAGCAATCATTGGACTATAAAGAAAAACTAGTTATTCTACTATATATATTAGAAAATTAGCACAACGTCAGTTGACCATCACACAGCATGAGATGAAACAACCAAACTGACAGAAGTGAATTTAGAAAAATAACCATTTCAATGTTAAAATTTTATCATGCAAATTTACATACTCCCTCCGTTTCTAAATATAAGTCTTTGTAGAGATTCCACTATTGACCACATACGGATGTATATAAATGCATTTTAAATATGATTCACTCATTTTGCTCTGTATGTAGTCCATAGTGAAATCTTCCCAAAGACTTATATTTAGGAACGGAGGGAGTAGTAAACAAAATATTGTCCATTGACTATATGTGGCAAGACATGATCACGACACAAATAACACTCAAAGGATACTACACTTGGAAATGGCGTACTTACATTTGATAAGGAAGAGGCACACTTGCGTTTCAGGCTAGTGATCTCAGGTTGGCGATTTTTGAGTTCTTGGATTTCATCATCTTTCTCCTTCACCAAGGAGCGCATCTCCTTTAGCTTATCCTCTAGAATCACTATCTTGTTTCCATAATCAACAACTTCTGCTTCCATCATGCGATTCTCCTTTACAAGCTTTTGCGTGGCTTCAGTAGCTTGTGTTGCCGCAGTTCCTTGTCCTTAAGAAGCATAGCATAGTCCAGCAACTCCTGCTCCTTTATATTGAACTGACTCCAAACAAAATCCTTTACAGCAAGTAATCCGATGTTTTCTGCACGGAGTTTTTCAATAACTTCATCTTTCTCCTTCAGCAAGGAACCCATTTCATGTAGCTTCTGTTGAGCCACGAGAGCTTCTGCTTGGAGTCTGCCAATCTCATTGTCCTTGTTTTGGGCTGCGACGTGCATCGCCTGTACATTCTGCTGATGCTTCTTCGCTTCTTCAATAGCCTGTGCTGCCTCTAGTTTTTTGTTCTCAAAGAGCGCGTTGTCCTTTTCCATGGTCCTCAACTGGTTCAAAAGAACATCTTTTACGGAATAAACATCCTTATCCTTCTTCGACAACAGGGTCTCAAAAGCTCCTTTTAGTTTTCTAAGGTTTGCTCTCAACACTTTTACACTGTGCTCATGATCCCCAAGCTCTAGGCGATCTTGAACTTCCTTCAGTTTCGATTAACATTAAGAGAGCGAACAAAGAATTAGGGAAGTCGATGAGATGCACAAGCTGGAGTGCAAGCTTTTGACCAATGCATCTGATTTCTCGGCAAGTACATTACCTTAGATTCAGTGTTACGGAGGGCAAGAAGACCTCTACAAGCTCTGACATCCTCCAAGTCACCCTCGTGGAGTTCTACATCGAACGCACAAGGCATCGATATCAGTAGCAACATAAATTCCTTTCTAAATGAGGAAGCTAACACAAATTGCAATGTAACGTGTAGGTAAAATCTGTACAAAGTAACATATTCACACCGGTCAAAATGCAAAAGATGGTCGACATAAAGACAAACATAATAAGAAATCAATACAATTGTTGCTGCAACTTCGTTAAGAGAATATTTCTTCCCAACTTCACAGTGTACTAACTGAGCCTTTATTTTGGAGCTACACAATAGCAAGAGCTCCCAGTGACAGATCTTCGCCACTGACATTTATATACGATGCTCCAAAACATGAAAGCACATGCTGCTAATTGCTAAAACTACGGACAAGAGTCGGGCAACTCTGCTTTTCTTGACGATCTGTACAGATTCGAGTACGTTGTTGTCTACAACGCCGGCTGAACAAGTAGGCAACCGAGGTGCGAGGGGGCTCCCCCTTTTGACCCCTTGGCAGATCTTGAGTATCACTGGCACATACGCTGGGCAATACATCATGCATGGTTTCATGGACATCAAGATGAAGGAGTGGGCGGAACCTAATGACCCGCAACATCGTCAATTTGCCATCGTGCCCAGTTTGGTTGTCTCCATTATTGGAGGCTCTAGCGACATCGGTGGTGTTAGTATCATTGCATTGGTAGATACATTTTCCCACCATGGCGTCGAACATATAAAATACGACATCATGATATATATCGCTAATCATCCGGAATAATGTGTGACTCATGATATTCATCGCTAAACATCCATTTTTGTTATCATGCATTCTTTCGATAAAAGGGGCCACACAACCTAAGACGGGTCTTTTTCTCATACATCATGGCATGATGCGTGGCATACTTGCACGATGAGCAAACTAAAATTAATGAAACATGCATGGTGACATTATGAGTCAGTAATTGCATATTAAGTGAATTGAGTTACAGTAGGGATCAAGTATTTATGTACATATGATTTGCAGCGTTTATTTCAAAGCTCTTAGAAAAAGGGAACCCAATGTTCAAAAAAAAAGAAAAAGAAAAAGAAAAAGGGAACCCACCGGACAGAGAGGGCTGACCGTCGGATTTCAATCCAACGGTCCCGACGGACCACAGAGAAAAGAAGCAGGGGGGACGAAACAGCCAAGCAGGTTGGGGAAAAAGAAATGAAAGCAGAGCTAATGGCAGAGGGCTGGAGAACATAGCAAAACCCTAGTCGCCACGCCACCGCCCGCCGCCCGATTCCGATGGACTTCGCGGAGCTGGAGGCCGTGGAGGGCCTCCGCTGGCCGTGGCACTCGTGGCCGCCGACGCCCTCCGCCGCGGAGGCGCTGGTCGTCCCCACGGCGGTGCTCTGCACGCCGCTCCACCCGACGGCGCCCGACCTGCTCCCGATCCTCCCCTACCCGCCCCTCCGCTGCGCCTCCCCGGCCTGCGCCGCGGCCCTCAACCCCTTCTCCCGCGTCCACCACGCCTCCGCGCGCTGGTCCTGCTCCTTCTGCGGCTCCAATGCCAACCCCTACCCGCGCCACATCTCCCCCGATTCGATCCCCGCCGAGCTATTCCCCACCCACTCCAGCGTCGAGTACACGCTTCCCCCGGACCCTGCCGAGGTGGGGGGTGGCGCCCCGCCCGCAATCGTGTTCGTCGTGGACGCGGCCACCGCGGGGGACGAGCTCGCCGCGCTCAAGGCGGAGCTGCTCAGGGTCGTGCAGGGGCTGCCTGAGAGGGTCAGGGTGGCGCTCGTCACGTTCTCGGCGTCGGTGTGGGTGCACGATCTCGGCTTTGAGGGCTGCGCCAGGGTGGTCGTGTTCAATGGGGAGCGTGAGCTCGAGTCGGACAAGGTCGGTGAATTCTAATTTGAGATGTGATCCTACTATCCTGGGGTGTTGCTTACTTACATTATATGCTTATTATTGGTGAAACATATCAGTGCACTGTGCAAGCTGTATAGTCAGTAGGAATCACATTTAGTCCACTGTTTTTGCCTGGAGTATATGGTGAGAAAAGAACAGTTTCTGATTCCAAGCATTGCGCATATTGACTTAAACCTTCCACATCAATGGGGATCTTACCTTGGCTAAAAGACCTAGCTTCCCCGAATGTCCTGTTTCATAAACCGCTTATAAACAAGCTCAAGTGAGCATATTGAACAAAATCACAAGACAGATTAGAACAGTTCCTAGGTTCA